TTGTATTTATTTTTTCTACTTTTTCTACTTTTTCTACTTTTCTTACTTTATTTACTTCTAATCCTACAGTGTCCATTGAATTAAAAGTAGCTATTAAAAAATCTGAGTCATAGCCCTTCAGTACTGTATTCACTGTTGGGCCTCCACAAAATCCTAGGGTACATAGTCAGAGTCTGAGAGTTCTGAGGTGACTTCTGGATTTGTAGAAAAGGCTTCTTACTACAAATCCTGCTCATCACTCATTATTACTCTAATGACCTAACAGATATACTGTTGCTTCTGCAGGCAGTCCTTAATTTGGTGCCCTGACTTTCTGTAGACAAAGTATGCTCCTTACTTTCAGGCTTCTCTAATGTCTATCAGAACAGATTGATTACAAATTACAGGTGGATTGATCTGAGGGCTCAGAACTGTCAGAGCCAGACACATGTGTAGGCATTCTACACAGACTTAATACATCCAAGCTGTAGCTTGGTTGAAGGAGATGGTGCACATCTTCTACTCAGTGTAGGTGACTAGTTCCAGCATTATTCTAAGAATCTTATCAACCAGTTCTGGGTGAAGAGCTTTTTCAAGCATTCTAATGAGGACATTATCAAACCTGAGTGTGAATCCTACCTTCTGGGCTAGGATATCAAACTCCTGAAAGAAGGCATTAGCAGAATGTTTGCCCTGTTGTAGAGACACAAGCTTGTTCTACACATTGTGCTTCTCATTCAGATTAATGAAGGAAGTACAGAGCTGCCCTATGAATTCTGAGTACAACTCATTGTTCCAAAGTCAGATCAGGCTTCTAATCCAATGACCTTCAATCCAGTTCTAGGTCTAGGTGGTCACATTACCTTCCTTCATAAAGGAGAGGACAAATAGGACACAATTGAGATCTGAGGATAGATCAGTCAAAGTAGTAGCCACATATAGTTCAACTTAGTACTGGAAGTCCTCAAAGTGCTGCCCATTAAAGTCTGAAGGGCAGGCTACATACACTTTCTTTCTAGAACAGGTTGCAACTTTCAGAACAATCAGAACAGGTTCTGAAGGGGCTGGGGGCACATGGTTGGTAAAGGCCTCTTGGATAGAGGTCTACACATATTGAGCTAGTTCTGCTTGTAACTGCTGATCTGGCAGGACAGTAGGGGTGGCAGTTAGTATAGTAGGGTCTATGTTTACACTACAAAGGGATTAGTACTAAACTAAAAGGGGTAATGAATAGAAGAAGGGTGGCAAAAGTTTAAAAGGGTTTAGAAAGTTTAAAATTTAAGAATGTAAAAGGGTCAGGACAAAGGAAAGAGATTGACACAATAGTAAGTACTAATGCCTGAAACGTAGGAGAGTTGTAGGGTGGTAATAGAGAGTCTTGATCTGATGTCAGCAACAGTGTAGAGGGGACCCAAAGGCTCAGCAAGG